CTTTTTGCTTGAGATACCCTCATGTCATTTGAGGCAGTATCAAGAGTCTTGTACCATAGCAACCGCCAAGGACAATGCAAGATATGCAGCAACTTTAAGGTGATGCAAATGAAAGTAATAAACAGGAGAGTAATGAAATCGAGAGGACCAATAAGTGTGTCGACCCACCTTGATACAGTCCTCTAAGGCCTGCAACTCCTCTTGCGTCCTCACGATGGAGTAGCCAGCCAGCCGTCGTTTAGCCTCGGCCATCCAGTTCTCCATCTCCTCAATGTCGACTTCGATGACGCCTTTGGAAGTCTCGGCTCCGTCTCCAGACCCGGTGGCATCCGAACCGACGGCTGTATCTTTGGCCTGATCGGCCTGTGTTGCAGCCTCCTGTATGGCCGGCTTGACAGTCTCTTGGGTGTCAGCAATCGGCTGCTCCATCTTGCGCCGTTTTAGCCCACCGCTTGATGGAATCGTCTCCATCATTTTTTCCTACAGGGGACAGAGTACAGTCATCCTTATAATGGGGAGATCAGGGATACTTTATAAGAGTTCGAGAAGATTTGGTGTTTGCGCATAAAACTCAGAATTTAGCATCAAGAATGAAATTAATTTTCACACAGAGCTTGTTTTTGCAACTTGCTCGGTATGCCAGGCGGCTTGGAAGCAATCGGAGGTAAAAGAGTGATAGAAGAAAGCGTCACGATTATGAGGGCCGTCCAATAAAGTATAGAGCCAGCTATGTGAATGAATCCTTGGTTATCATATGGAAATGAGAGACGAGATCGGGGGGATACAAATAGCCAATTCGAGATGATGGAAGGGAATAGCTGATAGAAGTTTCACACGGATGCGAAACGAATAGCCTCAGCAAACAAAGTTGAAATAAAACACACTTGGGAAGCGATGCTGAAATAAACCAACCCAGAAAAAGGTGCAGATAGGGAAATCAACCATATGAGATGGGATTAAGGGATTTTGATGAGTTGTGGCTCGGTGCTAGGGCCAGTGCCTTTTACTGACGATGCCGACTACAATGCCGGCGAAATGCCTGAGAATGTACCAGATCAATGGTCCGATGGTGGAAATTAGCACAATTACTATGGAAAAGGGCGCAGGACCCAAGATCACCCTGACGCTCCGATCAAGTTGCGGAAACGAAATCAAATCAAGATAGTACAGCTAAAGGAGACTTTGACCAATCCTAAGGTCATACTAGCTTGGCCTTCATATGTATGATATGATGACCATTTTCGGGTCTAATTAGCTCCTTTAGATATTTTCCGAAAAGTATTTTTTTCATTCTATTTCTATTACTTATATTATTGAATATCTTATTATTATACTTCCTTGCCTGATTGCAACCTAGCAAAGTCATCCTAACTAAGAATACGGGTTTTAATTATAATCAAAGTGTGGTGACTCAGGCAAATTATTTTTTACTACACCGATTAGTCGCATAAATCAACATCGCATCTATTTACTATCATATCAAGCCAGATCATCTGCCAGAACCAACTCAGAAGTTGACGCACATTAATTAGTGAATTAAATACTAAAAGTTCTAACCAAAGTGACTCGCTAGCATAGCGCTATATTCCCCTCGCCGACAAAATATACCACCCTCACTTGTATACCATCGTGTTCGCTAGAAGCTAATTGTGTTATCGTCTGCTTTCTCCGGTCAGATTAGGCACCAGTACCACGTAAAACATGGAATAATCCTTACAGAGTCATATAAGAACGGATAACTGCTGGAAAGTCGTTTGAGAATGTAAAAAGTAAACGGTCTGATGCTGGAAATTATCATGAAGCTCGACCAGCCATTCCGACCAAGCTGCTGGAATGAGGTGAAACCAAATCTACAAAGAATCAAAGTCCTTTCTGTTTAAAGAATTACCCATTACAGCGAATGTCTGGGTAAAAAAGAATCACTAAATACGAAAAGTGACTGGGTTTTGATGAATATTCTGAGATAACTTTGTTGGATGGACTTTTATTTCGTATGAAAGTGCATGAAGAAGAGATTTGATGTTGATCTCACCAGAAGACGACGGCAGATTCACGTTGTACTGCAGCCATTTGGCCTTAATACGACTTTTATGTTGACATAGTCCATGCGACATCCTCCCTCGTTTCGGGTAAAGGCGGACTGAGCTTTCGTCCATCATAGGATGATCATTATCAGAGATGGGACTCAGTCTTGTAAAAATCTTACATTAAGAATAGGTAAATGGAGACTGTCCGGCTCTACTTACCTTTGATATATACTCAAAACTAGAAAACAAAAAAAGTTTACGCATAGATAATTATAGAATGATTTGGCTAACAATCTTTCATATTGGTCACGCTAATTTTACTTGAGTGTGTATGTGTTTGTGTTAACGTGTATTTGCAATACTTGTCATAAAACAGCCATAATGACCCTAGACTGATAGATTATGACACATACATGCATACATGATAAAAGTACCATAACCAACATGAAATATAATTAGCCAAAGCATTCTATATCTATGCCTAAACATTCTCGTTTTTAAGTTATGAGTATATAGAAGAGGTGAGATAGAACTGGACAGTCTCCTTTTATCTAGCATTAACGTGAAACTTTTACAAGAATGAGTTCTAGCTCTGATGATGTCAATCCTAGTATGGGAAAAGACTGCGGAATGAGGGAGGATGTCTCGTGGACTTGACCAACGTGAACTTCGTATTAAAGCCAAATGGCTGCGGTACAGCGGGAATCAGCTGTCGTCGTCTGGTGAGATCAACATCAGAATATCGTCTTCATGCACTTTAATACGAAATGAAAGTATCACCAACAAATCTACAGAGTGAACTGAGAAGACTAGGCTTTTGAGCGTATCTTGAATTGTCGGCAAAAGATTCGTTGGTTCATCGGAAAGAGCTAATCTCTACCGAACAGGCATTTGCGAATCGTTTGTGAGAAAGGATTCAGACTCAGCACATAACATGACAACTTATGGTCCCAGGCTGGGCCAAAACCCCGACGTTAAACCATGAGTGGATCAGCCTCTCGACCTCACCTGCAGTTTGCCGCCAGCCCTCGAGTGCTTTGCCGCCGGATGGCCGGACTCAGCTGGTCGTTTCTGCTGGGCCTCGTGGGTTCCATTCATCCACAGTCCGGCCTGGCCACCATCACCGTCCAGCGCTGCCGCCTCTTCCCAGCCTCCCTCTTCCTCCTCGTCGGCCTCCAGCTCCTCTTCAGCAGCCTTCTCCACCTCTTCATCGACCTCGTGCACGTCGTCCAGACTGTTGCCAATCAAATGCGTATAGCTGGTCCGTCGGGCCAGAAGAGCATCGGTCGACGTCGTCGAGGCAGCCGCCATCGTCGGACTGACGGCCTCAACCTCAGGAACTTTGGAGGCGGACGACTGACTAGCAGCCTCTGTAGCCTGCCGAAAACGCTGCTCCAGATGGCGTTGATTCGCCTCAGTCATTGTTTTGACCCATTCCCAACGAGACTGTAGCTGGTTTAGACGCTGAAGACAGGCCTGTCCGTGCAAAGGTGCATGCAATTGCAACATCAGTGTTATGCAGGAAAATATATTAATCAAGTCAGCCTAGGTTGCTTAAGTTGATAAAAGGAGTAAGAGCTAAGTTTTCCCACAATCAGATGAGTCGGCCATGCAATGAGATACAATTTCCAGCTGAAGCGGACTGCAGGTTCGACTTCATTGGCACCTCAATAAGATTAGATGGCAGGCCATGAGTATCATGACGTCTTCACCTACGGGTGCAATAAGGTCATCCTAGGTTTAATAAGGTGATAAAGGACTGAGAATATAAAGTTTCCCACAGTGCTATCAGTAGGCCTCACGATGCCAGTGAATACCATTCAGCCTTGCCTCCCGGATGAAAATACCTTTTAGAAGGTGAGGCCAAGTAAAATTCATTAGCATAATTAAGCCTACTTATATAATTTTGGGAAAATTCAACTATCACTCATACCGCTTTTATTCAAAAGCTAGTCATTAGTATGC